ATTCGATAGACATGATTGGAGTCTTAGGCAGATAAATAATGTAATCACTTATATACATATGCAAGTGGGTAAAATGTTGGTGTACGAAGAGAAAGCTCATGATTAGGGTTATCTTATAGTGGAGTGCAATTATTCTCAAACCCATAAAAATACAATTGCCCCAAGATCAAATAATATTTTCTTAATCTTATGTGAAAAGATATAATCATTCAATTGCAAAGTAAGCATAGTCAACCCTTTTAGGAACTACCCAACCCTTTTAGGAACTACCTACCATCTACTTGATAGATGAGACCAAAAAACAAACAAAGAAGTTTTGATGAACCCTGAACTGTGCTTTGATTTATTCATCAATGGTCTTTTCAATATGTGCATGGTGACAGTTTTTAACTGTAATGGTATTTGAGCTTATACTCGAGTTTCATTTTGGTTCTTCAATTCTCGCACGGGTTTTGATTTTGTTCATTTGTCAATAATTTGGATGCAAAATCAACGAAAAATGATACGGAATAACAAAATTAGAACACATAAAAGAGTTTACCAAAATGAAACTTGAATATAATTTTAAGGACCATTGCGATTAAAATCTGTTATATGTAATTCTGTGTTAAAGCAAATCTCAAATAGCCAAAATCAATGAGCTTGAATGCCGATTTGCTATGAACACATCCAATTAGTCTGTATAAATTAAGGGAAACTTAATTAATGATGGTAATCATTTTAACTGGGGTTGTACAAATTAAGCAAAGCCGATCAATGAGACGTACATTTGAATACAAACAAAGAAAGTTGTACCCTAGCTGAGTACGTACGCAATAAGCTAAATCAACACCATACACATTCACATGCCTCATTAATCCCCACCACAATTTCATCTTCAACAACGTGGAAATTGTAGAACATATATTTAAATACATATATATATTTATTTATATAAATGGGGTAGGGATCAAGACGATCTCGGTGGCACGTTCACATGTCTTGCTATGCATGGCATGGGGTTGGTGCTGTTTGGTTGAACTTGAGGCGCCTTCATAACTTCATTGCCAGATTTTGTGATGACCTGGCAGATTTGCTAGATCTGGTTGGTCGGTGCATGAGTGGGACCGCCCTTTAAATTTTAACACCTTACGTGTCAAAAAGTACTAGCTGCACCCACCAGCCCCTCACCTTGCGCCTTTGGTTTTAATGGAACACACAAAGCAAGCACTGGTAGACTGGTGGTGCTGAGAATGAGACTGATCGAGATCAACAAGATTTGTTAATTACCACAATATTCACAATTATATTCAATATTGATGCAAATATATGAAAGAAACATGCGTGCCCCTTTGCATGACACAATTTCCATGTGTACCTTTATGAGAATATGATGTAATTAAACTCTAAAGGTAAAGAAGGAAATAAAGAAGAAGAAAAACAAGAACACATAACATGCATGTTAAATGGGAGTCATTGGAATTTCGCATCTACTTCTGTTTTGTATTTAACATAAAATTTGACGGAGTTAGCAAAAAGGACGAGTATTGCAACATGAGTCTTAATTTCAGTTCATGAATGAAAATATAACTCCGACTATAATCGGGAGACTATTGCAACAATTAAACCTATACATAATTTAATTTGTCAAATTTAGTGTGTGGTATTATCATTTGATCATGTTACTCTGTTTGGCCATTTATCTCGTGAGGCTAACATGCCTATACATGTCCAATTTATTTAGCCAATGTATAAAATATAGCGATGGATAGCAAACCCCATAATTGGGCTGAATGGAAATATTGCAATGCCAAATGCACGTGGATGTCACATGACATGATGAGACAAGTTTATAAGATACTTGGAGTACAAACAAATATACATATATATGTGGAATAGGAAATTAAATAGGGAAAAAGGAAGAGAAGGGCTTGGTATATTTGGGAGGGAAGAAGAAAAGGGAAAGGATGCCATTAGTAAAGGCACATGGTGTGTGGATTGAGATGGAGATGAGTCTTGACTCTTGAGGAAGAAAGAAGCAAAAACCCTAAACAATAATAATTCCATTCACATGCAAATTGAACCTTTTTGGTATGAGCAATTTGCCAATTGGGGTTTTCAAACACTCGCAGCAACAGACTTTTCTCTAGCCATGAACTTTGAATCATCTCATTTCTCCGCCCTTTGACTCAGGGCTTATCTTCGTCTTTAATGGCACACAACACCAACATGACACAAGCAACTTCTTCTTCTTTGGTTTGAATTAAAGTTGCCGCATCGATTTCCAATAAGTCTTCATCACATACAAAAAATATCTAACATGTTATATTATTATAAGGTTAAAACTCATTTTTGGTCACTGTAGTTTGGCACTTCAACCACTTTTGACCTTATAGTTTCAATTCTATCATTTTTGACATGTAGTTTCATATTTGTAGCAATTCAAGGACAAGTTAGTATTCCTGTCAATTTCTTTGACGATGCAAGGGGCAATTTGTCAACCCGAAATTATTGAGCATAAAAGCTCGTTTGAAACTCCCCTAATTTTATATTAGGGCTTGAAATTGATCATTTGAGTTTAGGGTTCTTAAAAAATTGGGATTAGTTGTTGAATTTAGAGCCCTAAGATGAAATGGGGAGAATTTTAAACAAGCATTTAAGTTCAAAGATTTTGAGTTGACGAAATTGCCCCTTACATCGTTAAAAAAATTGACAAAAATACTAACATATCCTTGAATTACTATAAATACGAAACTATAATTGTAAAATTGACGAAATTAAAACTACAATATCAAAAGTAGTTGAAATGCCAAACTATAGAGACCAAAAATGACTTTTAACCTTATTATAATAGCTCGATGCAAAAATATCTCTTCAACACAACGTAAGTCGTACAAAAAGTGAATATCAAAATATAGATCAGAAATGCGTAACCAAAATAGGTTAGGTCACACTAGCCGTCAGTTCGAGATAATATAGCTTTTTGAGTCGGTTTTCTCCAATTTGAATTTTTTATTTATTTTCAAGAGAGTATATTTATAAGAAGTAGGCATTTAATTCCCTTTTATTGGGAATTATTTCCATGATGTTATAAATGGAAAAATATCAAAATCCAAAGCAATTAAAACCGTGGTTTCACAAAAGAGGAGAGCAGACAGTTGGTATTGGTGGATGTGCCATGTGTGCAGCCCAATCATAGCCAAACAACTCCATCTGCAGCACCCGGAAAACCCTGACCCCGTTCTGTAGTATGCACGAGCCACCCCTTCCGTGGGTCCCACTTACGGTTAAGGCCCATGGCCAAACGAGCCACATAATGGGCCCCTCGTCCTCCTCCACCCCCGCCCCTGCTGACGTGTACGGACCGTGGGTCCCACGTTTTACGCGCTTTGGTATTTTGTCTTGTTTTTGGGGAGAGCTCACCTTTCTGTCCTGGTTTATTGAGGTGGTGGTTTTCGGGTCTTTGGATTCCCGCAATTTCATATTTTTTATCGTTTTTCTATTTTTCGAAATTTTCAAATTATTTTTTTCACTTGGATAAGTACAGAAAGGGGGAAAGATGCCAAATTTGCAAACAAATTGCAGGTGCTGATGGCTCAGCTTCTGATCCAAGCAAAATGAACTTCAACTTAGTGCTTTTTTTTATGTTTTCTTCTTCATTAATTTTTGAACAAGTTCTGTGGATATTAGTTGAATATTTTTGAATTTTATGATACTCCAAATTCATGTTGTGTTGTACTGAGATTTCCCAATTCCAAGTTGAGGAATAGTTCATATACTAAAAAGATAAGAGAGAGAGAGAGATATTATATATTCTCAAGCCTTCTTTGAGCTAAAAGAACCAATTAATAGTTTCATTGCCTTTTGGTTTTTTTAACTGATGGCAAGGCTTGCATTAGGAAAACCGTGGATCAAACCGAGATTTTCATGCTTGTGGTGTGATGTAGTACGTACGTGCCACTACACAACTTAGAATAACTAAAGTTAAAAAGAGAATAACTGAATAAAAAAGATTAATAAATTGCGAACTGCATCTCTTTAAAGTTATTATCGTAATTCTCAAGCATGCAATATGTTATGATTAAACATTCGGTAAAATTTCAAATATCGTATTGATTATTCCTGATTTCTTCACAATGTCTTCGCCTAACAACCTAAGATAATGAGGGGGCAAAACAATATGGCATAGGAGGTGCAAATTATGGCTCAACCAAGGCTTTTATATATGCACATTCTATAATCTTCATTCCTATACTACATAGACCCAAGAATTATTGCACCGTTCTTTTTCTTTCCATTAAATTATTAAAAGTGGGCACTAGAAAATTGCTTGTAATGTGAGATATCTTCCTCTTGGCCAAATTGAAGGGGTGTGTGCCGTAATACAATATTAACTAAGAAATTATGTCGACCCATTGGATTAGGTATGCTTAAGGTTCACATCAACAATGTGAAAATCAAAAGGGTTGGGCCTTAACTTCACCGTTTATTGCTAACTAAACCCTGTTTTAGTTAATCAGGGACTAATTAAGATGCATCGTGTGGCTCTCCCTTCCATTTGGTCCTCAACTTTACCCCAACTTGACCAAACAAAATGAACATGGAGCGAGCCCATGTGTGGTGCACATGCACATCAAGTCATGTTTCCCCAATGAATGGCGACCCAAAAAAAACATAGTAAATTTAGGCTTTAGTCAAAAAAAAAATTTCACTTTTGAAAAAAGCCAAAACTTTTTAAAGAAAGACAGAAAAATCTCTCAACTTTCAAATCAAAGACATGCAAATGTAAAGGATTCCTTAAGAAATCCAAAAATAAATAAGGGCAATTTTGTCCATTTTGACTTCTTTTACAAAATTTCTCTATCCTTTGTGTTTTTCCAAAGTTTCCCAAAAAACATTACTTGGAAAATAAGAAAAAACACAAATAATTTAAATAATTTAAAATAATTTAAAATAATTTTTTTTAAAAAGGTCTTGAGAAAGGGCATTAATTATATCCAGAGACCCCTGATGCCTTGCTCACAACTCCATAAGTACCCCCACCCTCTTCCCGCTTTCTATTCGCCCCCAACCCAATCCTATACATCACACTCTCTCTCTCTCTCTCTCTCTCTCTCTGACTCTCTCTGCGGCAATGGCTTTCGTTCACATGCTCTGCATTGCTTCACTACTGTCACTTTTCATGGCGGCCAACGCCAGAATCCGAGGCTTTGACACGGGCGGGCCATGGGAGGGCGCCCACGCCACCTTCTATGGCGGCAGCGACGCCTCTGGAACCATGGGTACGTAACTTTTTCTTCCACCACACTTTGTTCTCTTTGTTTTCCAAAAACCGTATCTTACTTTCTCGTTTCTTTTCAAAATCTCAGGCCCTTAGGCTCTTAACAAACCCATTTGTCTCTGTTTTGCAGGCGGTGCTTGTGGGTACGGAAACCTCTACAGCGAGGGCTACGGCGTCAACACGGCGGCCCTGAGCACAGCTCTGTTCAACAATGGCCTCAGCTGCGGAGCCTGCTTTGAGATTAAGTGTGGAGATGACCCCAAATGGTGCCACCCAGGCAACCCCTCCATCTTCATCACTGCCACCAACTTCTGTCCTCCAAACTACGCTCTGCCCAACGACGATGGCGGCTGGTGCAACCCTCCTCGCACCCACTTCGACCTTGCCATGCCCATGTTTCTCCAGATCGCTGAGTACAAAGCTGGTATCGTCCCCGTCTCCTTCCGCCGGTGAGTACGTCAAAACCCACTCTCACACTCAGTCACAGTCTCTGGTTCTTCATCTTTGTTTTTCTCTGTTTTTTGTTTTTTGTTTTGGAATTGACCGAAATACCCTCGGTTTTGTATTCCTTTTACGCTTTCTACATTCTGTTTGGTTGCCGAGAAACCAGGCCAGAATAAAGCCTTTTGAGCCCCTCATCCGAGTAGTCAGTTAGGAACATTCTCGTTTTCTTTAGAACCAAACAGCAGAATTTTTTTTATTTTCTCGCGAACCAAACAGCCCGAATTGTCAGAACCTCTCGTGTGTTAGTTGAGCCTCCGTCACGTTTTACGTCGTTTACCCAGAAATAACCAAAGGCACTTCCGTTTCCTCCTCCCCGCTTGTACAAAATGACTGAAGTAGCCTCACCCTTGTTGTTTGCTTTAGTGAAGCATGTAAATTAGTGAAGTCCTGAAGGGCATATGAGTGATTTCATGAGGGTCTAGGGTTGTTACAGATATTTCACGCCGTTCGACGCGTGTATGGAAAAGGCGCTAAATTTATGGGGACTTTGCGCCACTCCCGCATCGGAAATTACCAATCAAACATTAATCTAGTGTAATTAACTGCAGTAATTAACTGAGTCACCACAGTAATAAGTTTGACTGTTTATTTTTTACAGAGTCCCATGTAGAAAGGAAGGCGGAGTGAGATTCACAATTAACGGCTTCCGTTACTTCAACTTGGTTCTAATCACCAACGTCGCGGGCGCAGGAGATATCGTGCGGGTGAGCGTTAAAGGCGCGAACACTGAGTGGATGCCGATGAGCCGCAACTGGGGACAAAACTGGCAATCCAATGCAGACCTGGTGGGCCAGACCCTGTCCTTTAGAGTCACGGGCAGTGACAGGCGTACCTCCACCTCATGGAACGTGGCACCTGGTCATTGGCAGTTCGGACAAACTTTTTCCGGGAAGAATTTCCGGGTTTAAAAAAAGAGTTCAACCACTGCCTCTATCTTTTATTTTTATTTTTTTTATTTTGCTTTATAACTTTTATTATCAGCTCAATTTCCCGCCTTCGGTTTTCCCTTTATTTTCCCGGAAAAAGTTGAAGTGGTGGGAGTAAAAGTAAAAGTAGATTTGGGTGTACTGGACTTTTGGGTAGGATGAAGATGGAAGGTTAAAAAATGGTGGTAAGATAGGTAGAAAAGTGAAGTGACTCTTTTAAGTGTGTGCTTTTTTGATGCTTTTCTTGTTATAAGTGGGGGGCTGGTAAAATTTATGTAATCCAGCAAAGATGGTATATGTGGTGCTGATGTTGGAGCTGAAGCGGCTGCAAGAACATGCAGCCCGCAGCTCTTTCTATATCTCTTATAATAGATATATATATCTTTTACTATATGATGTGATGTGGCTTTATAATATTTGATTTTACATTTCTTTAATTATTTGGAAATTGTCCATATACTTCATGAAAAAAGATGGTGACAATGTCGAATGGAAATGGATGTGCGGTGCAAGGGGTATGTAGCTCAACATGATTGATTTTTTCCTAGTATCGCTTGTATATAAAAAAATGAACTTAGTATGGGGCGCCTCTCGAGGGAGTGTTGGACAAGAAGCAATGGACCCCCATATGAACATATCTACCAGATTGGGCGGAAGAAGATTTGCATCAGATTGCAACTTCCTTGCAGAGGCCCATCATCTGCTAAATACAGATTTACTCCCTCTGAAAGCTTGAATTTTCAAAACCCTAACCCAAGAAAGAAGCTATATGAACTTACCCACTTGGTCCACCCAATTAATTTATTTATATATTTCACGCTCAATAAGATAATGCACAGTGCCTTCATTCTCTTTGGTTGTATCAAAAACATTCATTAGATGCAAGTTTACAGAAACTAGGCCATCAACTGTATATCTCCAATAATTTTCAACTTTCTCAAGTGAAGCAGGTCCTACAAGAAAATAACAAGAGTTTTATATTTGATTGGCAGTTTGGCACACCGACCAGTCTGGGTAGATAGATGTGAAGGGGGTAGGCATCTGCCAAAGGCAGTAACAACTGTCTATATTTTTACCGTCCCTCTTTAATTTGATGCCAGTCCTTATCCTTTGAAAATTCCTTCCTCGTCGTACTGCTTTCAGCTAAAGCTGCCTCAAGCATTAAATATTTTATTTATTTTTATTGGTTTAATTTAAAGTTTAAACATACCACTTTGAGCACAAAAACATGTTGCCAAATGTTCCTATCCGACGGTCACACAACAACACAACTCGGCAAATATCATAAATGTCCTTGAACTTCATAGTACCACTCCTTCCTTGAGGGCAAATCAAAATTTCTTTCTTTTCTTTCTTGCAATCAATTTCTGTGGGAGTGTCCTTGTTGGTGTGAGTGAGCATGTGATCTTGTATGAATGGACGGTCCAGATTCCATCCAAAATAAAACCTAGAAGATGCTCAAAATTGGAGCTTTTGATTCTGCTTCCAAACTAAGCTCAAATGGAAGCCTAAAAAACCAAACCCTAGAGGGGGCGGTGCTTACTGCTTAGGTTCCATTTAGATAGTAGAGAAGAAACTGTTGAAGCCCCAAAAAAGTGCTTGTGGAATTTATACCTTATCCAATCCACCACATAACATTATCACAAACTTTCGGTGAAACAAAAACAAGAAAAGTCACCCATTGGAGCCAAAAAGACAAAGGCAAAGTCTTGGCAGTTTTGGGCGTGAAATGTTCGAAGATTATTCTTCAAACTACTGCTGCTGATTATAAGTATCTTTTTCAAGGAATCTTATACAAATGGGATTTCTGAGGTTATGGGGACAAAACTGTGGAAGATGATTGATAGAATTTGAATATATACTTTGGGCATCATATCCAAGACTTGTTTTTTCAATTTTCAGGCCGACTTATGGCAATGCTTAGAGGCCACAAATTCGTCACAAGCTCTTCATTCTGTTAACTTGTGTCCAACCATTTAAAATCTTTGGAGGAGAATTGCATAGGACCATTGACACCCATTTTTTTGTTTTGTTTTGATCACCAATCAATAGTTTGGGGCAATGGTGATATTCTAAATTATTCTAATGAACGAGAAGGAGGGAGCTTCTACAATGAGGAGTTAAAGTGATGAGGTTATTTGAGGAGACCGATCCGACCGTCAAAACATTTAAAATATTTAAGGCCCATGATTTCTTTACATTTGTTGATGGTGAGATTTGACCTCCTCAAATAATCTCCTCACTTTAAGCCCTCATTATAGCCTTTTCGCTAGGAGGAGAGGTTCAAACTTTGGTGCAAAGGGCGGATACATTGCCAATGAATAGTGGGTTTCTGAATACATGGCTTGACATTTTCACGAAAATGAGGGAGTTTATTTTTTGTTTTTGGGTCGAAAGAAAATGAGGGAGTTTGTTGGTGGACATGCAACAGACACAGGATGGATAAAGCATAGAGAGCCCAACCTGCTAAAGGCACCAAGGGGCTGAGCCTGACTCTATAATTTATTTTTACTATGGACCCTTTAAAGGGTATATAGGTCCAAACTGAATATATGGGCTCAGACCCAAAAAAGAAACTGAGGATATGATGGGCTTAAGCTTCAGAACAAATTACTGAAAAGCCCAAAATTAATAAACTGAAACGCCGTCTGTGGGAATCGAACCCACGACCACGTGGTTAAAAGCCACGCGCTCTACCAGCTGAGCTAAGACGGCTGGATGTTTATGTAACTCCAGTAATGCTATTTATATATTGATTTGATAATTAATTAATAATAACAACAACTGGCTCATCGTCATCATATACACACGTGATTCTACTGTTTACATTTGGAGTAATAAACTGAAACGCCGTCTGTGGGAATCGAACCCACGACCACGTGGTTAAAAGCCACGCGCTCTACCAGCTGAGCTAAGACGGCTGGGTGTGTCCATAAAGCAAGTAACACTAGTTATATATTTATTTGATAATTAATAATAACTAACAACAGCTGGCTCATACACACGTGATTCTACTGTTTACATTTGGAGGAATAATTTGCCTAAGAATTTAAGGTGAAAGCTAAAGCAACAGAGATCTCTCCAGCAAAAGTCTTGTCTTGAAGGACAACTCTATACTTCGCAACTCCAAGTTCAGCCTTTCCTTTCTCTGTGCCCGACGCTATCACATCCTTCACATACATCCTGCAACACAACAAAAAGAAAAGTTTTATGTTATATACATATTAAACTTACAAATCATTTTAATGCATATGTACATCTTTTATACAAGTGAGAACTCATCCATGATGCGATATGGTACAAAAACTTGTAATTTTATTCAGAAATACAAATTACTGTTATATATATACAGATACAAGCAAATCATGTACGTACTTTGATTCGCCAATAAATACATCGTGGTCCAAGAGTTTCTGAGTGTCCATGATACGAAACAAAAGCATGTATTTGTGATCTTTGCCATCAGAATACTCTGCATCGAATCTGAATTTTTCATTCCAAACTGGCTTCGTCCCTTGTCCTGCATACGTTTCAATTACATATTAGCCCCATTACTTTCATTTGTGATCATTTGGATGTAAAACATTCGAAAGGGTGTATATGTAGTCTTTATCCTTCTCGGTCGGTCTATATAGAATTAAAGTTGTAGAGCATAAGTCCGACAAGAAAACATGACTTTCTAATATAAATGTCATGAATAATTAGATAGGCCTCTGACGCCTGATGCTGACCTTTGGCTATGGTGCTTGTATGCTTTTGATTTCCATATTGAATTACAACATAAGGGTTCATCTTCACTGCAAATTTCAAGTACATATGAACAAAATAATTATCAAAAAAGATTTCCGGTAATTAAAACAATACTGAAATATGAAGGAGTTAAAGGATACCAATAAAATCCATGTTCTTGAGGCTTCGCGCTTCAACCAACGTGACCTCCAATGTACCAGCTACCATCTCTCTCTCTCTCTCTCTCTCTCTCTCTCTCTCTCTCTCTCAGATGAGCAGATATTGCAGATATTATAAAGACTTGAGGGAGAGAAGTTCAACTTCAAACACAAAGCTGGTTCAAATGGATGTCTCTTTTTAAACTTACAAGTCTTTGGTCGTCTCATGCAAATTGGTGTTAATATATATCTAATTAATTAGAAGCTATGCCTTCTTCTGCGTGTACATTTTTAGGGTTTCTTTTCCGGCTGCGTTAAGTAAGTCAGAAAACTTAATGGGATGGGATTATTCCTTCTGGATTTGGGATTTGCTGCTGTTTGTTTATGATTATTATTATTTTTAAATACTGCGGTCAACCAATCAGAAGAATTTGAAAGCAGGTAAGGTAAATGTATATACATTGTTTCATTAATTAATCGTTTTAGAATTTAGACGCAAACACAAATACCTTCTCTGTCTTTAATTAATTAATTGCCACCATCTCTGCCTAATTGTATATCCCAAGCTTTGTAATTTGAAAACTCCCACCTAACCCATGATTTGGCCAAACCAATTGGAAAATAAAATCCCTTTTTTTTCCAAACACGGTTTTGCTTCATGCAAATTGCAATTGATTTAGTTTAAATTTGTTACTAAATTAAAATAAATTTTGTAATATTGTTGATTTTAATGTTAAGAGAGAGAGAGAGAGAGAGAGAGAAGAGCTGAAGCTCCAAAGTGGTGACGTGTAATTGGAACCAACCATGCATTGTGATATGGACTTGGATTGCAATTTGAAGAACATGCATTCCATGCACCAAGGAGTGCATGATGACCAAGACCAAAGAGGATGGCTGTAATTAGTGGTTATGACTTACTTAACTCAAGCTCAATCAACTTCTTTGCTATACTTTATTATCTTTTGAAAAGAAAAAGTAAAGTTAACCCTTTTTTGAACTCCAAGTTTAGTGGTAGAATACATGAGGGCATAACATAATTAGTAGGGGTGGGCATGGTTTGGTTAGAGCTGGTCACTCACTAAATCAAAATCAAAAATGAAAAATAGACTCGATTTTGATTCGGTTCTACCGGTTTTCGGTTTGGGTCTTTGCTCGATATTCTTTTGTCTAACAAGCCTAAGACCATATTGAACCAAAAACAAAAGACAAGCCTAAGCCTTTCATATAATTTTTATTTTTCAAGAATTTTATAGTGACAGTCTTGTATATAGTCCTTAGGTAAGACTTTATCGTTGGATCAAATTAGTTACCCTGATCCAACAAGTAAGAGATAATACATCACCTAATGGTCATATATAAGGCCCTCATTAGAGGGCTTCTACCCATTTGTCATGGCAAATGGTAAAGAGGGGCTAAGGCAGACACTATTCACGTGAATAGTGGATATCGGCGATAATATCGTTTTTTTTTTGTTCCCGATATTTTCGTTCAAATTCAATCTGAAATGGTCAATATATAATATCGCGATATGAAACTGAAAAAGACAAGAAAAATGTTGAAAAGCCTCCATCTTGCGCATAGAGGGATTCAAACCCCCTCCCTTTCTCATCAAAGCCAGTGCCTTATCCAACTCAGCTGCGGCTGAGTTTGTCTTTATACCTTCAACTTGTAATATTTATAAGGTCTTTAAAAATGTCTGCAAGCTAATATAATCTAAGATAAATTCCCTAAGAATAAATTTAAGCATATATTTAATGTTATTTATTATTTTATAATGGAGTAGTATTTTGTTGTTGTTATATATTATGGAGTTTAATTATTATTCACTTCGAGTTTTAATATTGTTCATTGTATGTGATATTAAGTTTGAATTTTAATAGGAATTATTTCTATGTGGTACTAAGTTACTCATACATTTTATCTTTGTTTTTTTGGTTAAGCTCATATATTTTATCATATGTATCAAGTGTAATATATTGAAGTACATTATTATAACTAACAAATTATGGTGTGTTTAATTTTCTTTCATTAATTACTACATATTTTCTAAAGTCACAGTGTTTGTTAGGTCGCTACATAATCAACTTAACTCACTCAAACCCACCACGCCATGCATTTCCTTCCAATTTTTTGTGATAAAATAATAGACAATTGACTAAGTAAACATCCTCTAAAGTTTCAATAAAGATTTCTAAGTTTTTCTCATAATTTCCGTGATTTTTATTCAATTTGTATCGATATCGATATTTCCTCGATATTTCCATCGATATATCCGTGTTTTTGGACCACCGATATTTCCGAAACTCCCAATATTTTAGACCTTGGTTTCCACCCATTGCCATGGCAAGGGGCAAATACTATTCACTTTTGGTTTTGTTTTTTTTTTTAAAACCTAAACAATTAACTTGGAGAATATTTTTATTTATGCTTTGTTTATGTTTTATTTTTAGTTATGCTTTGGTTGTTTTTTTTTATTTTAAAAATTATGCTTTGGTTGTGGTTTTTTCTTTTAATTATATTTTGTTTGATGTATGAAATGTTTGAAATTTTTGTGTAGAAAATGAAAAATAATAGAAGGAGAAGAAATTATATGAGGATTTTGTGTTGAAAGTGAAGAAGAATGGTATGTATTTATGGAAAAAAAAAGTTCAGAATTTGTTGGTGAATTTTTAAAAAAATTTCAAAATTTTTTTTGCCCAAAAAGAGCCCAGTCGTTGGATTTGGAAAAAAAATAAAAATCGGTGCACTAGAATACGCCACGTGGCAGCAAAAATTTGAATTACTGTGCTGATGTCAACAGCCTTCGGACTTAGCCTCGGGCTGGTTTTGCCTGCGGGTTGGTTCAATCTTATGGGACCCATGGCCTGCCCGAGCTTCACAAGCCCGTTGGAAGCTACTTTTTGGACTCGAGACTTGTCCTACTAAGGTTGAGTGTTGTTGCTGGAATCGCTTTTATAGAATGACTCTTTTGTTTTTGGTTGTTGAGGCTTCAAGTATATGAAGTCCATGAGTGTCTAATAAATGCACAACAATCCAAATTTAATTACAACTAAATTGCCAAAATAAAAATAAAAATTCAAAACATCCTCATGTATATATAATTGCTGAAAAATAACATATTCAAAGAAGAAGAAGAATGACGTAGTAATAGTAGATTTTCGTACGACCCTTCGTATTTGATAAAAATGAATTGTAATCGTTAGATCAACAGGTTGACGTTTCTCTATAAAAGTACAGATTAATCACAATTTACTGAATTGTGCTCTCACTAAATAAGAATTTTCACAAACGACACACCCCAATATGTGACCTTGGCAAGAGTGCCATGCTTTCTCTCTAAAAGTTGTGAGTTGATGGCCAACAGAGTTAGGCTAGGTACGAGTTAGCTGTATGAGATTGGATTAAGTGCGAGTCCCCACAAGCTATCTTAGATTCTGCAGGAGGCGGCCGAATTTTTGGCTTTTGGCGGCAATAAAAAGAGGAGGCTAGACACACGACTTCATTGATTTGAGTTTCTAGTTCAAACCATGTCCTTAATCCAAGAATTCGACCAAAAAGAATGTCCTTGATTCAAGAAGATCTTTTATCTTGTAAGTGCGCTATTGAAATGTTCCTGACAAATAACCAAACATGAAATCCAAGCTCCATGATCTTAGAAAAGTAGAGGATTATCTACAAGATGGTCCCACAGTAAGACATAGTGCTATTGAACTAGTCGCAATGTACGCGTGGACTAATTCTCATCGTTGATGCATGCAAGATTCATAATACATTAAAGTTAAAGATATATTTTATATGTGTATGCTTGAGTGACTCACATAGTATTCTTCTTCACGAATCACGAATATGATGTTATTCAAAGGCAGAAAAGTGTTTATAACTAAATACTTTCTGACCAAATTATACGATTAATAAAGGTGACATGTGAATTGAAGGTGAGGACATTCACCTCAGATGCCTTTATCCACCTTGGTAACTACCTTCCCTAATTAGAAATTCAAATGTTCAAATAAACCAATTGCAGTACGTGATTTTGTTTTTTACCTAATTGAATAGTTGCAGGCATATGAGTGAAGGTCCTACTCAAGTACATCAAAGCTTTATCTAATGAATTTGTGACCCTTTTAAGAAACACGAGTGTGTGCCACCCAAAACAGGTTAGTAACAACCAAACATCATTGACCAAAACAAGACTAACACTACATGCATAGATACAGCTTATTAATGTACGGACAGCATTAACTTCACTATATATAGACCAGCAGTCTTCTATGCATATAGATCCTACCATCTACCATCTTTTATTTTCTTTAATTAACCAACTAACTCGTACTAATCAACTACCAAATCCTGTTGTACTTCTACCTAAATAAAATAATAATAATTCTTTTGTGTTGTGACTCAATTAAGAGTAATGCTAGAGAAATTACATTTTTAGATTATTTTAGTGAATTTGATTATGCGGTTTATGAAGTTTATTACTGAATCAATTTGAGAATGACTAGTCGGTAATTGATACGAGATGCAATAGAGACTTTTTTATAAGGACAATGCCTTTGTCACTTGGGTACCTCCTTGTCCCCCACATTGGAATTATCAAATTTTCCCTATTCACATATTATAATTCCAAGTGTTTATTTTTTAAGAGGAATGCTAGCAACCTTCTCTCTAACATTCTCTTTTGGACCTTCTCCATTCTCCTCATGACAAGTGTCATTTTCCTTACACTTAAAACAATGTCATTAATGTATCACACAAGTTAGTTTTGGTTTTCCAAATTTACCATTTTAAAATGATTGGCTTTTATATTTCCTTCAATTTATTTAAATTTTGTTACAACTTCTTTAGCACATTATTAAAAATTAAATAATAATAAATAAATAAAGAAAAACGTCATATATATATTTAAAATAAAGTTTGTTTCAAGATGTTGTTATCATCTTTATTTTGATTTTAACAAAACACATTTTCTCTTTGGGAAAAAAAAAAAAAACTTTAGTTTTTATTTTCTTATTTAATTTTGTTAACAAGGTGGTAAGAAAGTTGTAAAAAAAAATTAGCTTGTTATTAAAAAAAAATTAATACATTCAATAAGGGTAAATTTGGAAAACAAAAACTAGTTTGTATGATGCATTAATTACATTGTTTTAA